TCATATTTATATTGCAGCATCCTCAGGTAGTGTAGATTCAAATTTGTCCAAATGATGACCCCTGGGGGTAGGGCGGGGCCACAATGGAGGATAAAAGTCTGAAATAGAAATATATAGGAAGATATGTTCTGATGATAATCAGGCAAAGCCATGATTAGTCATTTTGATATGGAAGCATCCTCAGGTAGTGTAGATTCAAGTTTGTTAAAATGATGACCCCAGGGGATAGGGATGGGCCATAATGGGGGATCGAAAATTTTACATAGGAACATATAGGAAAATATCTTCTTCTCAAGAACTGAAAATCATATTTAGTCATTTTGATATGGAAGCATCCTCAGGTAGTGTAAATTCAATTTTGTTCAAATGATGACCCCCGAGGGTAGGGTGGGGCCCAATAAGGGGATCAAAAGTTTTACATAGGAACATATAGAAAAAAATTTCTTCTCAAGAACAGAAAAGCTATGTTTAGTCATATTGATATGGAAGCATCCTCAGGTAGTGTAGATTCAAGTTTGTTCAAATGATGACCCCTGGGATAGGGAGGAGCCACAATGGGGGATCAAATTTTTACAGAGGAATATATGGGAATTTTTTTTTAAAATCTTCTCAAGTACAACAAAGCCATTTGTTAAAACAAATTATATATTGACATGGAAGCATCATCAGGTAGTTTAAAATTCAAGCCCCCCCCCCCCCCCCCCCCCCCCGGAATCTTTTCAATACTGAACTGATTTGTGCTTTTGCCTTGCCAATGTGCTCAGGTGAGCGATGTGGCCCATGGGCCTCTTGTTTCAATATTAGTTTTTAATTTTTGCCTCTATATTTGGGCTAGTAACTTTTGACTTGGGGCTAGTAACTTTATTGCTGCCACTAGCCCGTGGGCTAGTACTTGAATTTTTTAATTGCACACCCCTGTGACTGTAGGGGTGAGTGCAGTTGTGTATTTATTACGATATGAGGTGGTTATGTGTTCTGATTAAATGTTTGACCTGTGTGGTTATGACCAAAGTAGATTCGTTCTACTGAAATATAAACATGCAGGGCCAGGTATATATAAATAAGATATGCACATGTGAAGTGTTTACTGCTTACAAGATATATAGTAGATATATATATTGGCTTCAGGTGTTCGGTGTATGCATGTCACAGACACTAGGTCCAGAGTGATGAAAAGAATTATACCAAAGAATGATAGGTATTTAATCATAAATATTACAAATATATCGACCAATCATAGAGGGGCTGTCGCTAAGAATTTTAAGTTGAATGTATTTAATCATAAATATTACAAATATATCGACCAATCATAGAGGGGCTTTCACTAAGAATTTTAAGTTGAATGTATTTAATCATAAATATTACAAATATATCGACCAATCATAGAGGTGCTGTCACTAAAAATTTTAAGTTGAATGTATTTAATCATAGATATTACAAATATATCAAGCAATCATACAATCATAGAAGAGCTTTCACTTAGAATTTTAAGTTGAATGTATTTAATCATAGATATTACAAATATATCGACCAATCATACAATCATAGAAGGGCTTTCACTTAGAATTTTAAGTTGAATGTAATACTCACATTTCTCTTTATACATTTGCGACCTATCAAGCAATTTAAATTGTTATATAATTTTATATCTCTTTGAAGGAACCCAATTGGAGGATATAATTTGACACAAGTTGAAATGCAGAATTATTTTTCATGAAAAATCCAAAAGAGTTTGTTTAGCATATATTAAGGAAAAATTGGACCAGGTGACTCTAAATGTTAAGTAACATAAATCTTTGTAAGGAGGAACATTATGGAACAAACAGTATATTTATGGAACAGTAAAACTTCTCTAATCCAGACACCACTGGACTTTTATAGAATGTTTCTGGATTAGACAAAATTTCAGTGTAAACATTTTAAACAAATTTCAAAGATTAGGCCTCAAAATTTATATCGTAATAGGCAAGTTTTCAGGATTAATGTATATTAATTAAATGATGCTGAGTTTCCTGATTTTGTGCTCCACCTCAGAATCAATATAATTTATGCTTACCTTTAAGATATTTATGGACTCTGAGATAAAAAAAAATCAATAATGAGTTGTCTGGTTAAGACTACCTCAGTACCTGCGACTGGTCGTGATAATTGAAGCTTTGTAATCAGTGACACTCCAGCCTTTTTGTGATTCAGCAACAGTAACAAGAATATTATTCCTGTAAACAAAAAAAATGGCTGAATATTCAGAATTTAACACACAGGAAATATTTATTTACCACAGATTCAAGGAGTCAAAATAATATTCAACTTGAGAAAGATTGTTTTTGAAATAATATTTGTAATTTGGGAATATACCAGGCGAGCATGTACTAGTGAGTGCATATTTTTTTACTGTAATAATGAATACATGTATTCAGAGGATTTTTTTTGCCCAGCTAAGCCAAAGGCTCAAGTGAACTTTTCTGATCAAAATTTGCCCATTTGGCTTTCGTCAGTGTTGGCATCGTTTTTGTCTTTATTAACTTTTCAAATTTTTTAACTCTTCTCTAAAAGCACTGGGCTAATTTCAACTATAATTACCACAAAGCATTTGTGGGTGAAGGGGTTTCAGTTTGTTCAAATGTAGGGCCTCTTCCAAGGGGAGATAATTAAGATTAAGTGAACAATTTTTGGCATCTTTAAAAACCTTCTCAAGAACCTTGGGGTCCAAAAAGATGAAACTTGTATGAAAGCTTCATTACATAGAGTGGATTCAAGTTTGTTCAACCCCCCCCCCCCCCCCCCCCCCCCCTGAGTAGGATGGGGCCACAGAAGCTGATCAATGCTTTACATAGGAATATACTATAAAAAAATCTGCTGATAAAAAACAGCAGGGTCATTGTGACTCAAGTGAGCGTTGTGGCTCATGGCCCTCTTGTTCAATGCATTATATGTTAGATAATGCAATCTTACACCATTTATATTTAAAAGAAACAGATTCTAGTATGTTTTGTCATGATTGTTTGAGTAGGCATTTGGCAGAGCATTTGAAAATATGATTGAAAAACAAATGTTTTATAACTAAAAAAATGTCTTTTCATGTGTATCATAAGTAAAAGCATATTTTTTTAATTTTACCTATGAAGTATATGCTTTGAGGTCAAATGCTGCAATAGATACAAACCTGTTTGTCTTTAATTCTGCTGTTAAATATTCTCCATCTTCCTATGAACTAGCTGGCTGAGTTTTGTCATACTTCAGTTTCTGAGGTGATCACTTCAGCTTTGTTAAGACAAAAGGAAACCCTAGTACTGTAGAAATAATTGTCATTGCTGAACATTCCCTACAACCAACAGATTTGATGAAGAGCATCTTAGACATACAAGATGTATTAATTCAGCTTTCATTGGGATTCTTGTAATCTCAGAACTGTCTTAGAGGCCACATCGGTTTAGAAAATTTGTTTGTGGAATCAGCCAGCTTTGTATGTACATACCTACGTGTAAAATACATTTTAGAAACTTTTATCCATATCAACATATAACAAAAGTAATGATAATTTTGAGTTTTATGTGTTTTTTAAAAGAATTTGAAATGGACCAAAAAGTGAACAATTTTGGAAGTGCAAAGTAATCATCTCTGCAGTGTACATTGGATGGTCTAAAAAACAATTTTCAGATGTTCAATTGTTGCATGAATTGAGTGCTACAAGTACTATAAGTGCTACAAGATTCCGGAGGGGACATTGGATTTCTTCCTCATCTGTCTATCCAACTTTCCCTTCCTCTGTCTGTCCCATTTGGTTTTCTGCAGTTCTTTTCTAAACCCTTGCAGATATTGAGCCAATTTTTGACCCACGCTCTTGCAAACCAAGGGAACATTCAATCTCATTCCTATGTACATCCTCTGTCCTTCTGTCAGTCACAAAAAAACTTTAATCTTGGTCATAATGTTTGAATGAGTAAAGAGTGCTTTCATATTTCACATGTGCATCATCTGTAATAAGACCTTTCCAAATATACCATGGTGTTTGACTTGAAGTTTGACCTACTTTTCAAAAATACGAACATTGGTAGTAACTTTTGAATGAGACTGTGTTAGAGAAGATAAGACTGTCATATTTCACATGAGCATTACCTGTGACAAGACCTTTTCAAATGTACCTTAACTTTAGCCCTAAAGACCTTGACCTTTAAGTTTGACCTTTTTTAAGACAGATTTTTTTTTACTTTTTAGCTCACCTGAGCTGAAAATTTGAGTGAGCTTTCTGATCACCCGTCGTCCGTCCATCCATCTGTAAACTTTTCACATTTTCAACTTCTTCTCAAGAACCACCGTTCTAATTTTAACCAAAATTGGTACAAAGCACCCTTTGGTGAAGGGGAGTTTAAGTTCTTAAAATAAAGGGCCAAGCCCCCTTCCAAGGGGAGATAATCAGGAAAAGACAAAAATAGGGTGGGGCTTTAAAGAATTTTCTTCTGAAGAACCACTGGGCCAGAAAAGCTGAAACTTGCGTGGAAGCATCCCTGGGTAGTGTAGATTCTACATTGTTCAGATCATGCCTGTCGGGGGGCCGAAGACCTTTAAGGAGGGAGGAATGTGGTCAGACACTTTTGATCGCTGATGGCCAGATAGCTCAGTTGGTAGAGCACCTGACTGGAGATTCAGGGGCCCGGGTTTGAATCCCATTATGGTCCATTGCATTTTTCTCCTTTTCTGTTACATGTGCCTTAAGCTCGTATCAATACCACAGTCTAGATTAAAGTAGGGAAATCAACCTAGACATAAATGGTCATTTTCACAATTTTAGATTTTGTTCTCACTTGTGCAGTAATTTTTGTTTAAACATAAAATTCGAAGATTAAATTTACCATGAAGTATACAGTTAATACAGTGTATACATAAAGTAATGGTCAAACTAAAATTTACTACCGACAGGCGGCCAAGCCATCAATTTTTACTGTACTTTGGAATAAATTTCGTCCACAGCTTGTGATTTTATTTGTTTCTATTGGTTTCAGGTTTGTTGATGGTGGGGTGAGAGGTCATTATGGAGGAATGCTTTGCTAGTGATTCTACCTATGGATCTCTAAGTGGGTAAGTCAATTTATGTTTTATCTAGTGGTATAAATATAGAGATCTGCCAGAAGCAACTCTATATATTCCATGTAGTGACATAACTATAGAGATTTCCAAATGGGCAAGTCTATCCATTCCATGTAGTGATATAACTTTAGTGATCTCCAAATGGGCAAGTCTATCCATTCCATGTAGTGATATAACTTTAGTGATCTCCAAATGGGCAAGTCTATCCATTCCATGTAGTGATATAACTAGAGAGGTCTACTAATCAAGGATCAAAATTAAGTGGAAATACTTGCTAGATGGGAGAGTCTGAAGTACATCTTAGTGAGTGTGTCACATTTAACACTATAAAGTTATCGATAAGTTCAAGTTTGGGGTTTTTAACTTTCCAAATTTAAAGTGTTTGAATGACTGCTTAATTGTCATAATATTGAGGGCCAATCTAGGGCCGAAATTTGGCAGCAGTCCCAATAAAATAAACCTATGCTTTACCAAAATATATTGGAAGTTTTCCCATAGAAAATCTTACTGAATTTGGGTTTGGGCTCCCCCCCCCCCCCCCCCCCCCCCCCCCCCCCCCCCCGCAAAAAAAAAATCTCCACTTACTGTGGTTATTTTTACACTGGATTCGAGATTTAATTTACCGTTATTGAATAATTCTGAAAATTGCTAGTGAATTTTCAATTTTTGCTAGTATATGCTTTTGCCACTAGCTAAAGTTTGCTCATGGTAGTAAAAGTTAATTTTGAACCCTGCTAATGGGCAACTCCATTTCATGTAGTGATATAACTAGAGAGATCTACTAATGGGCAACTCTATTCATTACTTTTATAAATGATTATGTATATATATGTATAATCATTTATAAAAGTAATGAATATAATATTAATATTATGTATATATATGCATAATATAACTAGCAATTCTGGAGGTATCCCTACTACATTTTGTGACAATACTTAAAGATCTACAAGGTGGTAGTCTCTACATGCTACATCTACTGATCTAACCAGAGAAATTCCATGCTGGCAACTCTGTACTATAGTTACAACTTATTAGGTGTTTCACTGTCTATGGATATATATCAGTTTAGACAATCTGTTCGGTGGCAAGGCCTTGCTTCACTTCCTTGAGACTGATCAACCTGATATACTTCCATAGACAGTCAGTAATATACCTAATAAGGGATTTATTTTCTCAAGAACCATAATGTGAGAAACATGTACAGTGTAATTCTGAAAGGTTAGCATGGTTAGGCCTCAATATTTCAGTATGAGAGAAAACAAATTTCATATTAATACATGTATACCAAAGTATAGTTAACAAAATAATGAAATAACATGTCATCAATGTTCAGGAGTGCCTAGGATTCATTTTCAAGCAATTATTTTATCAAAATAATTGTATTACTAGTGGTATGTAGACAAAACATGAGGACTGAAATATATGAATTTCTTACAGTGTTGAGATACATACAGTTGAGATACATACAGGGTCATGCATGCATTATTACCAACCACCTAACAAAGGGTTATGCATACAGCAGTGTAGGAATTTACTCTGATGTTGACATAAACCTAGTAGATTTCTCATTGGCAGGGTTCCACACTAACGTTAGTCCGTTAGTCTCAGACTAATACATTTTCATTCGGACTAATAAAATATGCGGCTAATTAGTCCGAACGGACCAATAAAAATTCCTGGAAAACAATATGAATAATTTACCAATGTCCGATTTTCTACGACTTTTACTGGAAAACCCCACATTTATTTTTAGCTTTCTACCTTCTTGGCGGGTAGTTACACAATTTCGAGTCAGCGCTTAATATTTCGACTGATTGATATGAAGTAAAACGTTTTAGCGATTATAATTTATATGACACATAAAAGAAAGATGTCAGACATATTCGATGTAATGTAATGAGAAAAAGAACGAGATCGGGAATACGATCGTACTTGTTGATCGCGAGATTTCAACAAATCTGTGCTGTGGAATAAACCATTTCATGCTTTGTTTATTTTTAAAAAAGAATAAAAACGTATATTGAAATGTTTGTTTTTAAATTAATGTTACAAAACATTGATGTTTCCTTTTTTTGACGGACTCATAAAATTGCTTGCGGACTAGTAAAAGTAAAGAAGCACTAGTCCAGCCGGACTAAAGCCTAAAAAAGTTAGTGTCGAACCCTGATTGGACTGTGAATATATGTCAATATGATAGTTGATATTAATTAGGTCGACAGGGTTACCACCAAGGTCGAACGATATTGAGATAACCTATCATTGGGTTGTATTTTGACGGCCATATATCATATCAATTGTTAGGCCTTTGTTTTTATACTAAATTTGACTACACAATATTCGGTCTACCTGATAAAAAAATGGAAGGTGTGACAGGGTGACGGGATGCTTACACCTCCTAACCACCTGATCCAACCTTTGGAATTTCTTGGAGTCCGTGATTTATGTTCTGTATACATAATATAATATATATTGTATATTGTTAATAGGTTTCTTGAGATTGATCACTGTGTTAATTTCACCATGTTCACCTTTTTCATGTAAGAGTTTTGTGATAGTGAAAACTGTCATGATTCTAGAAGAAGTCAATATATCCCAGGTTGTTAAAATTACTATAATATCAAGACACCAGAGTTTACCTGTATATATATATATATATATATATATATATATATATATATATATATATATATATATATATATATATACCAGTCAAGGCATCAATTTTTTGTGTGTATCATCTGTCCTTATAAATTTCTATCATTTAGTATTGATGTATACTAGTTTATTGTAGTTTATGTTGGACCTAAAGATTTAAGTAAGTATTAAATAGTTAAGAAATAATGTATCATTTTTAAACATCTATCGGGATATAAATACAGGTTGGTCACGAGATCAAACTCCATAAAGCCCGAGGGGCTTTATGGTAAATTTGATCTTGTACCAACTCGTATTTATATCCCGATAGATGTGTAAAAATGATACATTATTACTTATATTTACATTTATGACTTATTTATAGTTTATATTTTCCTGATTATAATCTTTAGCATGTGAAATGTTTTATTTTTCAAACTCAACGGCACGTATTTGATCCATTGATTGAGCGTCAACCCTTTATGACGTCAATGAGAAATTATGTCAAACGTTTATGACACGAGGAACCCGTGTTTATACAGATATAGATACGCTTTACTTTTAATAGTGTTATATAAAAGAAAACATTGCAAATGTAAATATAATTTATTAACATGCTTGGCAAAGAGGGAGGGCATTTGTTACATTACATGGATAGATTTTATTTTTTATTTTGATCATATCTGTTTTTTTTAATATTTTCATCTTGCACATTTTTGTAGTAAGATATGATATCAGATGTATAGTCTGAAGCATGCAGCTATCCCTAGAAGAGTCAGACTTTCAGTGCACATTTCTTGTAGAGCAAAAGATAGCAGTTTAGGTTATGTATTGGGGATGTGTCTGACTACACTAAGTTTATTAGTGTTCTAAGTATCTAAGTGTTCCTGAAAAATTCTCATCACAGCTTTCATATATTTATGGGAAGGTTGAATCAGAAAAACTAAACCCCCCATCCTGCCTTCCAGTTAGATTTGGAAGTATAAAAACATCATTAGTTGGTCTGTCTGTTAACCCTTCAGTTGAAAAATAATTGACGGCTTGGAAGCTTGTCATGGCTACTGCGTCTGACCAAAGCCTTAAACAATGGCATGGCCAATATCACTGCAGTGTGACGTGTGGCAAACCTTTCCCTATGTTTAAGTTTTTCATACACAGGGTATCAGTACAGTTAGTAAGCTCTGAGTAATAAGAGTAGGCTGGAATTCGAGTATTGCTGGTAAATTTCAGAAAATGCCTATTTACACAGAGTAGCAAATTTCTTGTTGCATGTATGTAGAATTTAAAACTCCTGGTTTAGTTGCATGCTTCAGAGTCTGTAGAATTCTCTTTGATGAGAAGTAGAAGGTATTAAAAAATGCATTGATGAATGAAAAAATGAAAATATATATATATATATATATATATATATATATATATATATATATATATATATATATATATATATATATATATAATGTCATTTCAAGTTGCTTACGCTTTATAAAAGATTTACTAAAACCAGAAATGAAGGTTTGGTGGTGCATTGATCAAAACTGTGCTTTGCTTCTGTTCAGATCTGTAGAATACGAAGAAGTTTTCCTTTCCAGTGACCTCAAGACAACATCTTATATATTTCATCTAAGGTCTGATCAAGGGGAACTAGAATATTGCTGATATATAAGTACTGGATATTTTATTATTTACCAATGTTAAAAGAGTCAACTTCTGCCCTCATTATTGCTTATTTACCGACAATACCAAAAATTATGGTCAAATGACCAAGGTGGATACTGTAATCTCTCTACATTAGCTCCATCCACAAAGTCTTTTATTGGTCGATATCAAAGGTACATCTTATAAATGAAATATAAGCTCCATCCACAAAATCTCTTATTGGGTCGATATCAAAGGTACATCTTATAAATGAAATATAAGCTCCATCCACAAAGTCTCTTATTGGTCGATATCAAAGGTACATCTTATAAATGAAATAGAAGCTCCAAACACAAAGTCTCTTATTGGTCGATATCAAAGGTACATCTTATAAATGAAATATAAGCTCCACCCACAAAGTCTCTTATTGGTCGATATCAAAGGTACATCTTATAAATGAAATCATGTTAAAGATTGGCTTACAGTGGGCCAGTAGTGATCATGAATTATAATAACAATATGAAATAATACTTCATATTCCTTTGCTTACATTTGTTTTCAAATTTGATTGACTTTAAACTCAAATATTGTAACAGACTCAAGTATGGATATTGGTCTTTGTTTTAATCAGAATGCTTTGGTGTTTGTTAAAATGATAAATTTCTACTCCAGACTAACACAGTGACCATCAGAGTTCTTATAATGAATACCAGTTCTAGACATACTTACTCACCAATTATGATGAGTTCCAGAAAAACCACCAAGAGCTCAGAATTGTAGAAAAAAAAAACCAGAACAACATTTTGAATAGTTTATTTTACCAAACATTTATAATTTCACATTAGATTACCACATAAACACCTGTAATCATGTGGTAATGATTTTTTTTTAGATGTAAAAAAAATTCTAAGAATATAGAACAAGCTTGTTTAAACAGTGGCAGATCCAGAAGTCTGTGTGTGTTTAAAAACAAAAATCATAGTTTATTTGTGTAGTTCAATGAAATTAAAAACAATAATCAGAAAAAGTGCTTGCAAGAATATTACTTTATAACTATACCTCTATAGGTTACCTGTGTATTGTGTGCGTTCAAGCGGAAAGGGAAGCTGGCTGTATATTTGTATAAAACAATTGGTTTGGATATAGAGTCAATCTCATTTATGCAATATCTTTGTTTTAAAAAATGACAATTGAAAAAAAAAAGTTAAAGCGGTGGTGTGGGGGTTTTGGGGCAAATCTCCAACCCTCTTGAATCCACCACTGTATAAATGTTCTACTTGTGTATAATTTCTACTTTGAAGGAATTGCTGAAACAATATTGCAACATCACTTGATTTGTAAAAGGTTGATGAAGTGGTAATTCATGGCAGTAGAGATGCTACAGCGCAGTCTGTATGACAAAGGATAACAGCCAATACAGAAAAGACTATTTATTAAAACACCTGATGCAGGGCATACATCTCTTAGTTTTGACGTTAACATTTAAATACTAGTTGAAAAAAGGGAAGTCATTTCTTCTGAGTTTTAGAGAGTGTATTGATTGAAAAGATTCAGGATGGTAAACAGTTGAGACAGAACTGTCTAGAAATTCTCCTGGGCCAAGAATCGTGGGTGTGTAATAAACCCTGTGATTGGATTTAGTTGGTACATAATTTCTTTGATTGCGTGGTCACATGAACAGGGGAACCTCCTGTCAAAGATAAATACAGAAAGGTTGTGTGCTATTATATTCTTAAATTTCAAATGGATGTAAACAGATTTGGATGAGAATGATAGCTTTGAGATTTTGCTGTTTTTTTGACAGAATGCAAGACAGTAGTAGCAGCTTCAGTATGTCACTGAGTGGCAGCGATACGTTTGAGGACCAGCCCTCCACCAGTGGCTGCAGGTACCCATTCTTATTTATCAATACAACTGTCTTATATAAAATATCTTGATGTTTCTGGAAAATCATAAATTTTTCTAAAACTGTTCAGTTGTATTCTTTATAACTTTATAATAGGGAAACATCATCTTTAAATGGGAAGATCATACTTGTCATAAAAATGGGATGGGTAATGATCTTGACTCGGGTCATTTTTTGGTAAGTTCAAGGTCACAGGCAGAAAAAAATGTATAGTTATTTTATGGTCCATAACGTTTTAAGGGATAAACATTGAAAGTTTATAATACAGTAAAAATCCTTTATGATGAACATGGATAAAACAAAGTTTTTGGGGATCCCTAGCTTAATAATTCTTAATAATTTTAGTAAAATTTTACAATTTTACGGTTATAATGAACTCTGATATGGTGAATTTATAGCTAACTAATTTTGTGCTCCCAAGGGGTTTAAAGGGACGATATTGCCTCTTTTATATTGAAATTTTTAAAATCACAAATTTAGAATAGGAACTGCCAATTTTTTATAAGTATTTACATTTGTCAAGACCTTCACTTACTAGTATACAGTTAAAGCATATCATTGAGGGAGTTAGCAAGATTCCAGTTCCCCAGGGCCAGGACTATTTCCAGAGGCGAAGCAAATTACAAATTAAGGCCTTTGGTGGTTGAGCCGGAGTAGGGGTTAAGGACCCTCTATACACCAGTGCAAAATGTTTTTTGGACATTGGGAAAATTATATTGAATAAAGTTGTAAATAGTGAGCTTATCAATTTAATTTTCAATATATGATTCGTGGCATTTACCTCCAGGAAAAGTGTTCAATCAAGTATCAATGAACAGAAGTCACTATTGTTTACTTCCTTGGAGGAAATACATGCGAATAAAGTGTTCAAGTAATTTATCTTGGCTATTTAAAATGTTATGAATACTTGAACTGATTACAAATTGAGTAATATACTGTAAATTTCAATTTATTGGAATTTAGATCTAAGGGAAGATCACTCTAACTACAGAAAAATGCCATAGAATCAGAACTCTTTACTGTGCAGTGTAGAGAGGGTTCTTAAAGGATTAGAAATGATTTGTGTTAGGTGATACATTAATTTTGGATGTGACCATGGTTATCTTATTATGTTTACAGTAGTGAAATGACTCACAAAGAGAAGCGCAAAGCTCGAGTCAAACAGTATCTGCGGCAGCTTAAAGCAATGGTGCCACCGGCATCTGGAAGAAAAGGAAAGATGGGGACACTAGGTGCCCTACAGCATGTGATTGGGAGTCTCCAAAAAATTCAAGGTAATCTCAATGGAAAGTCACGGAATAATTAATATACCTCCTCTTCAGGGTTTACTTAGGTAACTACGAATTGGAAGACACTAATTAGTGTTGTACCGATAATCAGAAAACATCGATTGTCGATGAAAAAATGCTACCGATTCCGATGATCAATTATAATTTTTCATAATCGATCATCGGAAACATACTTCTAATACAATACATTCCGGAATTATCCATTTCTGGTTTAACATTTATTTCTTCTTAATGAAAGAAAATGGCGTCTGCATCTGATACTAGCCAACTAGCACGAAGCAGAGGTGATTAAGAACCAAAAGGTGTATATATAGGGCCTAAAAAATTATGTTTGTTTCCTGTAACCCGACCGGCCCATTCAATTTACCCCAGGTGGATTTTTTTTTTCTGCCAAATCTGTGTTTGCTCTTTGGTCTGATCAATCAGCTGATTTTTTTTTATTCAAAAAATATTAATTGTATCTTTTATTTGAGATATAAAATATGCAACTTAGTCAACATTTACCTTAAATATAAAGAGTAATCAATCCCCCCCCCCCCAACTTTTTTAAGTTCGTTTTCTGCCGCTAGGCAGCCATGATGGGTGTCCACTGTAAATGTAACACCTGGATAATTCAGTCCCGGGATGCTTGACCCCATTATTCATAAGGAAAAAAAAAAAATTCCCGACCTACCGACCCTTGATTTTTTGGGAATGTTGCAGGAAACAAACAAACATTTTTTTTTAGGCCTAGAAAGTGTAAAAGAAGCAAAACAACAAATGAAATATATTATATATTTTATATATTCATGTTAAAGAAATAATATGAAATAATTGTAATAGTCTGCTTTTTGTATACAAAACTATGAAATCCGATTATAATCGGTAAAATCTAATCGGATGCGTTAACCGATTCCAACCGATGATCGATTATGAAAATTAACTGATGTCCCATCACTAACACTAATTACCCTACTGCATATAAAGGAGTCTCCAAATAACCCAACATCTAGATGGCAGAACGTCACAAAAACAATTCAAAAGAAGCATAGGATTAAAATTTGTAATTTAGTAGGGCTGGGTATCGGTTGGAAATTTCATATTGCTATATATTGCAATATTTGGAACTTTATTGCGATATGTATTGCAGCAGTATTTTTAATAACAGTTAAAATGCTATTTTCTTATTTTATTAACCTCCACTTATAAGCAGAATGTATAAAACTTTTATAAATACATTGTAACAAAAAAGTTCTAGTTGATTTCACCCATACAACAGAAACCTTTACCATTTGGTTCTGTTTAGCAGGATTGAAAACGTTTCTGACATCTTAAATTTCATATTTTACTTCATAAATCTAAAGCCCAATCATTTTGCCGGTATATTGGTACTGGAAAAATGTATTGCAATACAATATTTTTTGTTAACGTATCGCAATATACCTTAATATCGATATTATTGTGCAGCCCTATAATTTAGATATCTTAAGATGAAAGGTATTTGAAAAGATTCTGAACATTGTTTAGCAAAATGTCCACGTTTTATTACAATTTGGGTTAATATATTAGATTTAATTGAAAATGTCGGGAAAGTGTGTATTTTCAGTTTTTTCATGTCAAAAAAGTATTCATTGTGAAGAAAATTTGCAAAAAAAGAAAAAAAACTCAACAGAGATTAAAAAAAAAGAAAAACGGCCTAGTTCTCAAATTGCCCTGAATAAACTGTTGACGTAGAAACACACAATAACATGAATCAGGGATTTTTTTACCCTCTGATTCCAGGGGCCGGGGCCGTCAAGATAGGGAAAAATAGCAATATTTCGTTGAAATTGGGAAAAATATCTTCATACAAATAAAAACAAGCAAAAGTCAAATATGTAATCATTTTTCTTATTTTTTTATAGTATGAAGCTGGCCTAAACCAGCTTTAGTGATATGAAATAATAGAGACTGCTCAGGATCTTAAAAATGGTAAAGCCGTAGGGTAAAATAACATTGTAAATGAACACTTTTATACAACGTTGTCATCTTTTTTACCTTTACGTAAGAAGTTCTTTAAAATAAAATTTGATAGTGGGTTTGTTCCAGATGTGTGGTTAATCAGTATTGTTTGACTAAGTTATAAGAATAAGAGTGATTCAACACAGCCTGAAAATTACCGCCCTAGGCAAACTGGAGAGACTGACATGATGCACGTTTATTTATTATATAATTAACGATCCTGACTTTAATTTTTAAACATCGATCCCGCTTTAAAAAGTATGCATGCAACATTCGTATATTCCGAATAACTTTTCGGAACTCCTCGGATGGCTCGTACATCGCACATAGAGGACATAAACACCTTTTTGTCATTATTTTATTTTAATAATTTACAACTTAATACTTTTTTCATATTGGGAATTTTTAGGTATAATTTTGGGAAAAACATGCACTTTTCAGCATTGGGAATGGGGCCGAATTTCGGCCCCGGAGAGACCCTAAAAAAATCCCTGTGAATAATGACCATGTTATATATTCAGAATTCCTTTCCATTGGTTATGAAATGATCTGTTCTTTAATACCATATTTATTATTCTTTTTTATTTCAGAGGAGAAAGATAAAAGTAATTTTTCTAATAGTGATGCACTAATAGAAGAACTGGACAATTCTCTCTTTGACAAAGATAACCAACTCAATGCACAGGTTCTACGATCAGAGGTAAGAAAGGTCAAAGGTCACAGAATTAAACATTATCTTTAAGATCAAATAGACCAAATAGCTGGTTTAGAGGCAATTTACAAGGAGTTATGGGAGTTATGTCCTTTGTCACGCTTTAGAACTGTACTTAAAAATGAATAGATTTCCCAAATGCTTTCAAATATATGATAAAAACAACTGAGTTCAGTTTTACTCCTCTGATAAAACACTAGGTATGTGGTGATGTCTGTAAATTATTTTCATTCACCTAATAATTATAAGATTAAGTAAAAGTCTAAGTTCTCTGTAGATAAACAGTCATGAAATACCAAAAATGAGAGAACGGTGGTGGATACGGTTAGCAGATCTAAGTTGCTGGCAATCGTATACTTCTGCTCCCAATAACAATTACTGCGGGATGTTGAACAAAATATCATTTAAAGTATTTTTTCTTGCTTTCAGACCAGCTGTTGTCTTGTTTTTAGGGATATCCAGTTTGTAAGGTTTTCGATGAAATGAAACGGGGTGCTGGCCGATATTTTGTATATCAGCTGATGTTTTGGAGGGTTCTATTTTCAGGGGTTCCAGAATTGAGAAGTTTCACCACAAACTTTCACATCTCTATAATGTGTCAGTCAATTGGTTTATTAGGCTGAAAATATAAATGTGTGTGAATAGTGAAATTTTTATAAATTATACTGATCAGCACTTAGTTATTTGGTAATATTCCTGTTTGTGCATTGCCACAAGAAATATGGATTTGAAATATGGTATGCCCAACTCATTACAGAATAAATATCTCTATTGTTATTAAAAGAAAAAAAACGGCACAATTTTTATGCCCCGCCATGAATATGGCCAGGGCATATAGTGTTTGTCATGTCCGTCCTTCTGTCCTGTCCTTCCGTCACACTTTGTGTTTAGCTCTGTTCAAAGCTCAGTTTCAAAGAAACCATCCAAGATATTTTCATCAAGCTTCATATGCTGATAGATATTGATGAGAGCTGCATCATCATTTTTTGACCTTGACCTTTCCTTTGACCTTGACCTCACTTTTCTTGAATTAGTGTTTAGCACAGTTTTAAAGATACCATTAATGATAGTGAAATCAAACTTCATATGTTGATACATACTGATGTAAGCTATTCAACTACATCAACATTTTTTGACCTTGACCTTTCCTTTGACCTTGACCTCGCTTTTCTTAAATTAGTGTTTAGCTCAGTTTTAAAGATACCATTCAAGATAGTGTAATCAAACTTCATATGTAAATACATACTGATGTAAGCTATTCAACATTTTTTGACCTTGACCTTTCTTTTGACCTTGACCTCTCTTTTCTTAAATTAGTGTTTAGCTCAGTTTTAAAGATACCATTCAAGATAGTGGTATCAAACTTCATATGTTGATACATACTGATGTAAGCTATTCAACTACATCAACATTTTTTGACCTTGACCTTTCCTTTGACCTTGACCTCACTTTTCTTGAATTAGTGTTTAGCTCAGTTTTAATGAAAGCATTCAAGACATTTTTAACAAACCTCATTTGCTGAAACGTACTGATGAGAGCTATTCAACTGCATCAATATTTTTTACCTTGACCTTTCCTTTAACCTTGACCTCACTTTTCTTAAACAAGTTTTTAGCTCAGTTCTAAAGATACCATTCAAGATAGTGTTATCAAACTTCATATACTGATACATACTGATGAGAGCTATTCAACTGCATCAACTTTTTTGACCTTGACCTCACTTTTCTTAAATTAGTGTCAAACTTCATATGCTGATACATACTGATGTAAGCTTTTCAACTGCATCAATATTTTTTCACCTTGACCTTTCCTTTGACCTTGACCTCACTTTTCTCAATTTGTGTTAAAATGTTGCATTACTAATATACCCTCGGCGGGGCATTTATGTCCTATGGACATATTTCTAGTTTTTTTATTATGCTGTCGACATTGGCATTCCTAAGAATCTCATGTATTGTCTGTCTATTTCAGGATGCCATTCAAGTAATTCTAACTGTCAATGATCTCTCCATTCTCAGTGTGTCAGACAACATAACTAAAGTACTGGGGTACCCAACGGTAAGTCTCATCTTAATAGTATCATGCAGAGGACTTCAAACAAACCCAAAGGAATTTAATACTGAAAAAGAAATGGCTTATTCCTAGCCATTAATTAAAGTAAAATAGCAACTCTGGAAAATAAGCAATATATTTATCACCTCCCTCTCACTAAGTGGGTTGTAATTTAATGTTGTATGAAACAATTGCTTGGCAGCTGTCTGTGAAACCTAAGAACTTATCTCCATGGTGACAGAATCTGTGTAATGAGCTATGTTTTGTCACAAATGTAACAGATGATATAAAAGAAAATCTCACTCATGTAATTTTATCATGAAAGAAAAACATGTTGTGATATTGTGATGGTGGTTTGATAATTGGGATATGGAAAAAAGTCAAGTACTGTGCCTGGTCGGGGAGGAGGGGAGGGGCTTATATGGAATAAGCCAAAAAGTACTGACTTTTGACCATTTATATGTTCATTATCAAGATTATCAGTGAAGTAAAAAAGTTGGTTATGTGTGGTATACAGGTGTAGAACTGGGATTTGATACATATGGTTTAGGGATGGGTATCGCCTAAAATTTCATATCGTGATATATCACGATTTTTCTCCAGAATATCACAATAATATTGTGATATTTTTACACACAATTTTTACAAATTTCAATGAATTTCCATAATATTTCTTACAAATATGCTATAAAAACATAGCTTCACTTTTTAAAATTTTTATTTTTATAATATAAAGCATGTTTGGATGCCATTGTTTAACTTTTTTTTAACATTCTTTACACTTCCTGTAATTCTTATTTAATAGTTTGAACAAATAAATGAATAATTTCTGGAATTTATAATTATGTACCAAAATCCGGTATTTTAGTCTCCGTATCATGATAGGTATTACGCAATAAAAAATCATGACATACCAGTATACCGATAAAATTGTGCATCCCTAATATGGTTATAATCTCTTCTTATATATTTTATTTGTCATTTTGCGCGTGCACATTTCTGACCTTACTGTAAGCACTTAATTTTAAGTGGCAGCACACTGCCGTTTTTGGAGAATGAATCTTCATCAAATGACATAAAATCTACATTGAATTACTATATAATTCATTTTAAGTTAATTTAAAAAAAAAAACCCAGAAAATCTTTTTTGTTGGAAATACCATTAATTTCATTTAGCTAATAAATCTCAATTACTTTTTACATAAAAGGCATGATTATGTCAGTCTAAAGGAGTGGGATAAATGTACTTCAGTTGAATGAACTTCAGTTGACAGACATGAAACGTGTTCAAGCATGTGTTATTTCTTATTTGAAAGGTTCAAACTTGCATGAAGCTTTTTATGCACAGCTGCATGAACTACTCCAATTTTTTTCAGGTTATGAAAAGTATTCTTAAAAAAAAAAAAGAATGTTAATAAGGACAATATTCTGTAATGACTAATATCTGCCCCTAAAATAAAACAATAATGAAGAAATTAATAATATATTCTTAACCAGGGAGATATCTGCAGACTTGAAAGCAGTACCTATTTTCAAGAGCCTGATGTCATATGTTAGTTATGATGTCAAGTGTATTTTACATCAATATTTTGATCAAAAGTCATAGAGCTCAGGTTTTCTCCAGCTTGATCTTTTGATATACAGCTTACTCCACTTATATTGAAATCGCTTTTTTTTTTTTTGAAATTCCACTTATTTTGAAATAAAAATAAATCCCCAGTTTTAGCCTCTCATTTTCTTTGCATTAAAATAACGGTTATGATGAAATCGGCTTTTTTGAAATATCGCTTATATTGAAGCCACTGATCGGTCCACAGAGGTGATAATGAGTTGTTTTCATAACAGTTATATTGAAGTACTATTTGGCAGCTGTCGTTACGGTTGGTGACAGTAATTATGCCTGACTGACTGGTTGATATACAAAAGTGTGAATGAATAATTTCTCATCTTATTTGTTTTTATATTGCTTTAACAAAATAAAATTTATCCACTGTTTAATTCTTTGTTTTCACATATATGGACATATTGAGGCTAGATGTAATATGGGAACGTTTTCCCCACAGAAAAGAAAAACCTTAATTATCTTTGGAACACAAATACAAACTAATTGATAAGAAGACAAAGCCTAAATCCGAAATAGCTAAGGATTTTTGGATTAACACGAGTACACTTACGATGATATACAAGCAGCGTTCAGCAAGTATTGAAGTGGTTGAGTTCGGTGATTTTCTCCAAAATCGTAAAAAAATACGATTGGGAATTATAATGAGGTTGAGGATTGTCTTTTCAAATGGTTCACAAATGCAAGATCCTCAAATATAGCCATTTACAGCGAATTTCTTGCTAAGATATCTGAATAGACTGTTATAGATAAACGATGACCATATTAATTTGTTCAGGTTTGTTCTTCTTTATTTTAGATCAGGATTGAACTTTTAAAAAAGGCGGTTTCACGTCAGTCGATTTTGCTTATATTGAATTATGGATATTTTGAAATAATTTGCATGGTTCCCTGAATTTCAATAAATCTGGAGTAGGCTGTAATGTATTATAGAATTATAATATCAGTAAATTCTATACAATGAAAACTGAAACAATTTTGTCCCATGGAAATTGTGCCCCTTCAATTATTTTGCCAATATATACCGGTAGATACTATGTTCTTGTGCCCCCTCAAAAGAAAACGTTTGATGACCTTTTTCTTTTAAATAATTTTTTTACTTGTCAAGGAATACTTGGTAGTTGATAGTGCCCCCTCAACTGAAAATGTATGGCTGTGCCTCCCCCCCAACTGAAATTGCTTTCTACAGGCCTGTGTCCATTTTGTCCTCTGTTTTGAAAATAACAGAAAATCAAAATAGTTTGTGACATCACAGAAACAAGTATGGCATCTACTTCCAAGCGATTATATTTTTGTTAAGATTTTTCATACAATATATACAATTGTGTACATGACTAGAGATTTTCAAAATTTGGCTTTAATGGGGGGGGGGGGGGGGGTTAAAATATGCTTTTACTGTATATAGTTCTTTTTCAAGTTTGATTTAAATTGAAATCCTTGACCATTGCAGGACAGCTGGGTCAATAGAAGTTTTACTCATTTTGTTCACAAGAAGGACATTGTGACCGTTAACACGAGTTTGAATGTGGAATCTGAGGAACAGGCCCAGATGACAGACTGCGATGGTCAGTCAAATATAATCATTGTGAGATACTCCAATTTTATAATCAGTTGTAGAGAAACTTTCTGACTGTTACAATAACAATTATTGAATGAAACAGAGATGTAGACTTTTGTCCAGTTAGCATTTTTCTGTATTTGTTCCCTCAATGTTTTGTAGATTCAGCTGTAGAGAGCAAGACCGGAGAAAAATCCAGTCAAATAAGAAAAAAGTTCTTCTTCAGGATAAGGCAAGTATATTCTTCTACACACCAGATAGCTGTCAAATCAATAAACCTATGGAAAACAAAGGCGGATGCAAGCCGTGTTGTTTAAGAGAGAAAATCATTGATTTTTTTTCTTCTCTCTAGATTCCCCACAGACCTTTTTAAAAAAGGCTGCAAGATTAAACTGATCTTATTAAAAAATTAATTGAGAATCCTATTCTTCTTTGTTTTGCTCATATCAAGAGCAATTGTTCTTCATCTTGGAATATTGTAGAAAATAAAGTTAAAAATAGCAGAGTACTTCATCACGTTATTGGCCTCACCCATTCAAGAAGAAATTGTTTGTTTGGACATGTTGGAACAGTGATTAATGATAATTAATTTTATGACCGGCCATGAATACAGTAGCGATATATACAGCAAACACACTTATAATGAATTTAGGCTTACAGCAAAATGATTTTCATTCCCCGTAGTTTTAAAATGTGAACTAAATGGATATAATGAATTATATTTATAACGAATCAAAATTGTTGGTCCCTTGCACTGGCTATAAGCGTGTTTTATTGTATATGCTATAGTATTTGTACTGTTTGTCTTCCATCCGCTCATTACGCTTTCTTTTAGCTCAGTTTCAAAGAAACTGTTCAAGATATTTTTATCAAAATATATACTAGGGATGTCAAAAAATAGTAGACTATTCGACTATCAGTCAAATGGACCGACAATCGAATAATGAAACAACATTCGGGTATTGTTACTAAATAAATGCAATAAAAGACTGATAAGGAGATGGGATTCTCATCTCAAAATTGAGGGTTGGACATCCATGTTCTATTGATATATATCTACAGCTAAACTTCGAAATCTCGAACACTGATATCTCGAATACCCCGGATATGTCGAAGTAAGGCCGCGGTCCCGACGAAATTTGCTTAATAAATGATTAAAATAAACCCCTCTATGTCGAACACGGTAATGTCGAATACCCCGGTTATCTCGAAGTAAAATTGTGTACCCATTCATTAAAATCACATGCGTTATCTCGAAGTCAGGATAATTTTCCGCTCTGATGATCAAGTCCGTTAGGTAAACTGAATGCTCTATTGATAACACCCACCTGTCTGTCGCGCTCGGGTTACCTGTATTCCTGTGATCAACAGATAATAGCGCGATAATTATATGAAGTGTATGTATGGCTTACCTTGATTGTAATTATGCAAGCCAAAGGTTGTGTGTATTAGTCTAATGCATACGTGTGGATGACACGTTAATTGTTTTGTGGCTTGGGTACGTTTATCTTGATAATCGCTATTTAATGCTATGCGAAATATGCGAGCATACATATAGTTTATGGATATGAAAGTGAAAATTATAGCCATCGAAGTAAAACAAAATTCTCAAATTCAATGCAGTTAAAATTTATTTTCCCTATATGACCGTGCAGAATTTACAATCGTCCGTACACACCATCATGTGAGCGTGTGTCGCAGTGAAAAAACTTGTGCTGTAGTGCCCTGTGATTCAGTGTTGTTCTGTTGTTAGACAAAAGTGCGTGATTCTTCTTTTGCATTTGATTTTATTATGGTAAAATAATTTTCTTTTAACTGATTTTACATGTGTGAACATGTTTCCAATAAAAGAAAATGAATATTTTGTTTTCGTTATTCTGACAGCAACCGGTTTTAAATTTACAATGCATAGACGATATCCGGTTATGTATACATGGGAAACGATGCTAGCGGTTGACTTGCCGCGTTAGTAGAAGGATTATACTTCTGTGCATATTATACAAGCCTTTTATTTTGTTAATTATAAAGAGGATGTAATATTTTTTTTATTGCTAAAAACATGTACATGTACATTAAAGAAATCGTATACAAAATTTCGAACAAAAAAGAAACATGACATATTTTTACTATTAAGTACATGTTCACTGCAATAAGTTTATTTAAAGTTCATTTGAATTATAACCCTCGATATGTCGAACCCCCGGATATCTCGAAGTTCATCAACGGTCCCGTCAACTTCGAGATAACGAAGTTTAACTGTAGTTACTTTTTTTAAATACCAAAAAAATAATGAATGAATGAATTGCTTTTGTTTGCCTTGATGCCATTTTTGACTTCTCCTTGATAGGAACTACAAAAGCCTTCAATATAGTGGGTTTAGCTTGGTCCGACCGGACAAGTTTACCACAGTGCAGGCTAGTATGACGGTCAGCTATTGTCCCGAGGGTAAGAAAATAGAGTCCCTGCCATCCTGTCCTTCATCTGGAGAAACAGACAAAAGGAGCAGAATATGTATCCACCTAGAGTGTGTACCCCTACAGTCACTATACAATGGTATGTTTCATCTCTCATCTGATATGTATTTAAGGAAAATGTCATTAAGATGGCTTAACTGTGTAGGAACTGTGGATTCAATTAACTTTGTGTCAAACCATTCCTTCTGTTAACTGTGTATCATATGTGCCATTTCTTCTGTCAACTGTGTGTCAAATATAATCAACACATTCCTTTCAGTTTAAGAGAAAGTTTTATGTATGAACAAAGTGAAAGTGATGACATATACATGTATATACCATATATACTCGCCTATAAGTCGGTTTTTTGAGAGTTAAACTTTGGTCCAAAAATCTTTGTCCAACTTAAAGGCAAGTTATAAAAACATTGGTATTTTACCGGGTCATTCCCTCTAATATACGCTTAAAATAAAACCGACTTATAAGCGGACCGACTAATAGGCGAGTACATACGGTTATCGTATTCCATTGAAGTACATGTAAATCAATGCACAATTTTCCCCCTCAATTTTATTCATATCTTGTTCATTAAATGGATTCATATTTAAGTGTCATTGGTTCATGTATGTGTAAATAGATACTCCTGGTGCTCATGTTACCACTAAATACCATGTGACCTGTAATTGTGGTTGAATTATAGGAGAATACATGTAAACAAGTGTTCTGGCCCCCAGGTTCATAAAGCAGTGTTTAGATTGGTGTCAGGATTGGACTTTGTCTTAAAGTTTTATTGTATTGTATTCTTTGTTTAGACTGTTGTTAATTTGTAGCTGGAATAGTTATAGCTCTCTGAGTGCTGACTTGTATCTTTTACTCCAGACTTTATTACAAGACTTTTGAATACAATCACAAGATCATTCTATCTATTTGCAGTAGAGAGTGTACAGCTGGAGAACCAGACCTTTTATATGAGACATTCCATGTACTGTAGCTACAGTTATATGCATCCTAAGTAAGTCATTTGATCTACAAAAGACACAAAATACTGCATTATGTACAAACAAAAAACAATTTTAAATTTAACAACCCTTATATAACAGTGTTAAGAGTTGAATTCCCTTTTTCTTAGTGCCATTCCTCTGCTTGGGTACCTGCCACAGGACATGAATGGGATGTCCATTTTTGATTTTTACCACAAAGATGATATGGAAACCTTATATAACATATACAGACAAAGTAAGAACACTGCTCAACATTCCAAAATGTTGTCATGTTCAGAAGTAAAAAAAAAACAAAACCCAATGCTCTCATTGTCCCTATATCTTTGTCATTTTTAGTAAAAAGAATCCCAATTATTTTCATATTTAGAAGTAAAAAAATCATATACTTATTTTTGTTATTACATAATGTTTTTGATTATTTCGGTATTAAGATATTAAGACAGGGATATTTTATAGTTGTAGTCTCCAAGGGAACCCCTTTTAAGAGTAAGCCAATCAGATTGAGGACCAGAAATGGCTGCTGGCTGACGGTGGAGACAGAGTGGTCCAGTTTTGCCAATCCTTGGTCCCACAGATTGGAGTTTATCATTGGTCAACACAGGCTGGTCAAGTAAGTACACAAAACATCTCATCATTGGTCAACGCAGGCTGGTCAAGTTAGAATTTTACACTTGAACATAAAACAACACATCAAGGACATGAAGTAACCACAGATATGATTCTAAGCCTTAGTTGTTTGGATAAGTTCACATTGCTCAGAAGTTTAAATCTGGGCCCTCAGATTTTTATGCTAGGATTGTAGGTAGTCACTCTCCCATACGTGATACAGAGATTATCCATGAACAATGATAGTGCAACAACGCCTAATAACATAGGACTTTGCAGTATAATTTTTAGCTCACCTGAGCCGAAGGCTCAAGTGAGCTTTTCTGATCACATTTTGTCTGTAGTCCGTCTGTCCGTCCGTCTGTCTGTAAACTTTTCACATTTTCGACTTCTTCTCAAGAACCACTGGGCCAATTTCAACCAAACTTGCCACAAAGTATCCTTGGGTGAAGGGGATTCAAGTTTGTTCAAATGAAGGGCCACGCCCTCTTTCAAGGGGAGATAATAAAGAATTAGTGAAAAATTAATAGCATCTTTTAAAAATCTTCTTCTCAAGAACCACAAAGCCAGGGAAGATGAAACTCATGTGGAAGCATCCTCAGGTAGTGTAGATTCAAGTTTGTACAAATCATGACCCCCGGGGGTAGGGCGGGGCCACAATGGAGGATCAAAGTTTTACATAGAAATATATGGGGAAAAACCTTTAAAAATCTTCTTCTCAAGAACAGCAAAGCCATGATGAGTCATATTTATATGGAAGCATCCTCAGGTAGTGTAGATTCAAGTTTGTTCAAATCATGACCCCCGGGGGTAGGGCGGGGCCACAATGGAGGATCAAAGTTTTACATAGAAATATATGGGGAAAAACCTTTAAAAATTTTCTTCTCAAGAACAGCAAAGCCATGATGAGTCATATTTATATGGAAGCATCCTCAGGTAGTGTAGATTCAAGTTTGTTCAAATCATGACCCCTGGGGGTAGGGCGGGGCCACAATGGAGGATCAAAGTTTTACATAGAAATATATGGGAAAAACCTTTAAAAATCTTCTTCTCAAGAACAGCAAAGCCATGATGAGTCATATTTAAATGGAATCATCCTCAGGTAGTGTAAATTCAAGTTTGTTCAAATCATGACCCCCGGGGTAGGGCGGGGCCACAATGGAGGATCAACGTTTTACATAGAAATATATGGGAAAAACCTTTAAAAATCTTCTCCTCAAGAACAGCAAACCCATGATGAGTCATATTTATATGGAAGCATCCTCAGGTAGTGTAAATTCAAGTTTGTTCAAATCATGACCCCCGGGGGTAGGGCGGGGCTACAATGGAGGATCAAAGTTTTACATAGAAATATATGGGAAAAATCTTTAAAAATCTTCTCCTCAAGAACAGCAAAGCCATGATGAGTCATATTTATATGGAAGCATCCTCAGGTAGTGTAGATTCAAGTTTGTTCAAATCATGACCCCTGGGGGTAGGGCGGGGCCCCAAAGGAGGATCAAAGTTTTACATAGAAATATATGGGAAAAACCTTTAAAAATCTTCTTCTCAAGAACAGAAAAGCTATGTTTAGTCATATTGATATGGAAGCATCCTCAGGTAGTGTAGATTCCAGTTTGTTCAAATGATGACCCCTGGGATAGGGAGGAGCCACAAGGGGGGATCAAATTTTTACATAGAAATATATAGGAAAAATCTTTAAAAATCTTCTTCTTAATAACAGCAAAGCCCTAATTGATCATATTGATATGGAAGCATCCTAAGGTAGTATAGATTTAAGTGTGTCCAAATCATGACCCCCGGGGGTAGGGTGGGGCCCCAAAGGAGGATAAAAGTTTTACATAGAGATATATAGGAAAAATCTTTAAAAATCTTCTTCTCAAGAACAGCAAAGCCCTGATTGATCATATTTATGTGGAAGTATACTCAGGTAGTGTAGATTCAAGTTTGTTCAAATGTTGCCCCCCTGGGGTTGGGTGGGGCCACAATGGAGGATCAAAGTCTGAAATAGAAATAGAAATATATAGGAAGATTTCTTCTGATGAAGAACTGCAAAGCCATGATTAGTCATTTTGATATGGAAGCATCATCAGGTAGTGTAAATTCAATTTTGTTCAAATGATGACCCCCGAGGGTAGGGTGGGGCCCAATAGGGGGATAGAAAATTTTACATAAGAAACACATAGAAAAAATATTTCTTCTCAAGAACAGAAAAGCTATGTTTAGTCATATTGATATGGAAGCATCTTCAGGTAGTGTAGATTCAAGTTTGTTCAAATGATGACCCCCGAGAGTAGGACGGGGCCACAATGGAGGATCGAATGTAACATAAGAACATATAGAAAAAATATTTCTTCTCAAGAACAGAAAAGCTATGTTTAGTCATATTGATATGGAAGCATCCTCAGGTAGTGTAGATTCCAGTTTGTTCAAATGATGACCCCTGGGATAGGGAGGAGCCACAAGGGGGGATCAAATTTTTACAAAGGAATATATCAGAAAATTTTTTTAAAATCTTCTCAAGTACAACAAAGCCATTTGTTATTTTGACATGGAAGCATCATCAGGTAGTTTAAAATTCAAGCCCCCCCCCCCCCCCCCCCCCCCCCCCCCCCCCCCGGAATCTTTTCAATACTGAACTGATTTGTGCTTTTGCCTATCCACTGTGCTCAGGTGCCCATGGGCCTCTTGTTTATAAGATCTTATATTTTTTAAAGCTATTTTTTAATATGACCTCTGATAAATTGCCATGCAGGGGATTAAGTTCCATTAGAGCAGTTATTGTTTATCATTAATCTACATAAAGGGATGATTTAGAATCTAAGATATGTGTTCAAATTTTGGTGATTTCAACAATGAATGCAAACTTTCATTTCATACATGTTTTAATGATGCAATTGTATTATGGGAAAAATTCAATGAAAATGACTCCATCTCATGCCATTTGCTATAAAGCATATTTTTTTAATTTTAGACCACCTATTGATGGAAATGTGTTCAATGAACCAGATCGACCTTTGTTTATGTCACAGTTGAGTGACTACCAGCAAATGCTTCAACAAAAAATTCGACAGATGCTGCTTGAGGTCAGGACTACTTGAGAGTTATCATTATTACTTTATATAGCTCATTATTTGTATACTTGTGAATATGTATATGTAAGTATGGCCTTTTTCTGAGTGAGTATGAATTAACTAAGAATTTATTTTTTTCAGCCTGTAACTGAGGGAAAAGTAATAACACCACTCCAGTCTAGAGCTGATTCTTCTGATGAACAAAAGACCTCAGGTGGGATATCATAAAATGTGTGTGCGTGCACGCGCACACATTCATACACACACAGAGAATTGTACCAATATATTTTCCACTTTTAATAGAAAATTGGAAATATTTGCAATATTGCAAATATTTCTTTAATACAATATCAAACTTAATTTAGAGAACAATATACATGGCTTGTGAGCATTATATAGCGTTTCCCCTATATACTTTGACCCATTTATAGATGTAGGAAAAACTTATATAAAACATTGCTTCAAACTCAGAAAAATATACATGGTCTTAAACAATAGATTTTATGTCTTAGGTAATAAAGGTAGGAAAAAAATTCAAATTTCAGAAAGAACTGGATATGATTGATCTACTATCATGACTTTATAGAAGTTTCAGAAGTGATTTGCATTGCAGAGAAGGAATGACTGAAAAAATTAAGTGTTTAGTTAGGAAGGATTTTAAAGACATTTGGTCTTGGAGACTGAAATAGAATTTA